TAAGGAAAAGAGAAAACGAAAAGTTAAAAAAAAATCACGGATTGGACTATAAAAATAGGAAAGGCAAATTGTTTTCATCTAGAACTTTCAAACCAGTTGAAAAATGCTGCATTAAGAGAAAGTGTAATGAGAAGATTACATCAGAAAACCAAAGAAAAATATTTAATGATTTTTACACACTTCCAGTTTGTGCAAGAGACCAAGCATTAGCTGACAGAATTAGAATTTCTACGCCAGCAGTAAGTCGGAAAAAGGAAGATACATGTGAAACCAGAGTTACTCATGATCGACTAGTGACTGTGTCATACTATGTTACTTTAGATGGAACTACAACAGAAATATGTAAAACTATGTTCATTGGTGTTTTTGGTTTAAGTAGAGGCAAGGTGGATGTCATTATTCAAAAAGTGAAAGCTTCTTCATCTAGAATTATCCAAGGAGATATGCGAGGTAAGCACCCACAACAGTTTAAAACTACTAGCGAGGAAATTGAAGATATTAATGCATTCATAGACAGATATCCTAGGCATGAGAGCCACTATGCTAGGAGAGATAGCTCCTCTAAAAAAGTATTTCTACCAAGTAATTTAAATGTTAAGATTATGTATAAGGAATATTGTGAGCACAGAAATGAAAATGGTCACACTAAGTCCGCATGCTATGATGTTTTTAGAAAACAGTTTAATGCCAAAGGATATAAATTTAAAGAACCATTTATTGACACATGCAACAAATGTGATGAGTTTATTTTAAAGAAAAGACATTCAACCAATAAATCTGATCGCCAAATTGTTTCTGATATGCACGACTCTCACATCAAAGAGGCCCAAGAGGGTTATGATATGAAAAATCATGATAAAAATCTAGCGAAGTACTATGACAATAGAGTTCTATTAGTGTTTGATCTCCAACAGGTTCTTCCTGTACCTTACTTATCATCAAATATTGCATATTATAAGAGGTTTCTATCCATGTACAACCTCACTATAAGAAACTGTTCAAATGACCAGGATTCTTCTTATTGCTGTATGTGGAGTGAGATAGATGCAGGCAGAGGCTCTGATGAAATTGCCTCGTGTGTTTTCAAAAAAATTATGGATCTTCCAAACAATATCGAGTATGTCACCACATACTCAGACACCTGTGGAGGACAAAACCGAAACATTAACATTGCCGCCATGTTTTGTTATGTTCTGACCAAGAAGAAAACCATTCAGGTAATTGATCAAAAATTTTTGCTACCTGGTCATACACGTCTCGAATGCGACAGCGATCATGCTCGTATTGAAAGAGCGAAAAAAATACTTCACTCTTCAGTTAACAAAAACAGTATCAGTGATACGTACAGAATCATGGTGCCACGTGATTGGTGTCAGTTCGTCCGCACACTTTCTGGGAGAAAGAAATTTAAAGTTATTGAAATGCAACAACTTGACTTTAAGGAATTTTCTAGTCTGTTGAAAAATGTGTTGGTCCATCGGAAAACTGACAGTGAAAAACAAAAAGTCGAATGGTTGAAAATCAGGTGGCTACGATACACTCAAGATTTTGGACGAATTTATTTCAAGTACGATCTTAACCCATTTTCTCCATTTAAAAGCTTTAGTATATTGAGGGGTAAGAAGGGTCGACCAGAAAACTTGGAAGTTGCAAGATCATATGCTGGACCTTTGCCAATAAACCCGAAGAAAAAGAAGGATCTTCTCTCAATGTTTAGCCTCATTGATCCCCAGTTCCATTCGTTCTACAAGAAGCTGACCACTGATACAAACAGTCGTGAGTTTGATGAATTGGATGAGTTGGATGAAGAAGATAAAGTTTAGTTTCTACTTTCTTGTTTTACTCAACAATTTTTATTTTTCTTTGAATGTAATGTTTTAAAAATAATGTAACTCTGTCAACTAGCAAGGACAATTTTGAAAAACAACGTATAAATACTGATTTAATAGTTATATTAATAAAAACTGCTATAAGTCTGAATTGTTGTTATTATCAAGATGTCTTTCAAATTATTTCACATATTTTTTACATAGAAATCGAAAATAAATTTAAAACTACACAAACACTTGTAATAAACCCTTTAATATAACTAATTCTTGCTTGAAAATTACTGGTAATTTATCCATAAAAAAAAGCATTACCAAAAAAGAGTTATGAGGAATAATTTCCCTATATAGTTATGTGGTGATTTGAGTCATATGGCAGACGACAAAACATGATATCTTTTACATCACTTACAAAAAAAAATAATTAGTAAATTTAAATAACATTGTTATTGCTTGATATTTTGTATTCAGTTAGTAAAAGAACAGCTGCATAGTTAAATATAAAATTTGCTATGAATAACTTAATAACTGATTTTTAGAACCCTGCTAAACTTTAAAATTGCTCTCCTGAAAAGTTGATGAAACATGACTTATCAGCTTATGTCATCTACTCACAGAGATGAAGACATCACAATGAGAATCGGACAAGATAAAATAGAACAAGTTAAGGATTATATATATCTTGGTCAAACTATAAAACTTAACAAAGAGAACCAAACAGCAGAGATCAAGAGACGAGTTAGACTTTCATGGGCGGCATTTGGCAAACTAAGCTACATTCTTAAAAACAAAAGATATCCACAGCATCTTAAGACCAAAGTATATAATCAATGCGTACTCCCTGTTCTTACTTATGGTTCCCAAACGTGGACATCTACCAAAGCAAACATGGACAAAATCATAAAAACCCAAAGAGCAATGGAAAGACAAATGTTGCACATAAGACTAATGGATAAGAAGAGAAACGACTGGATAAGAGAGAAAACAAAAGTGAGGGATGTTAGACAAGACGTTGCAAAATTAAAATGGAGATTTGCCGGACACAATATAAGACAAAAAGAAGACCGATGGAAGAACATTCTTATAAGTTGGAGACCGTGAGAATATAAACGAAGCAGAGGAAGGCCCCAAATGAGATGGGCAGATGATATCAAGAAGCACGTGGGCTCTAGATGGATGACTGTAGCGACAGACAGAGAAGAATGGAAAAGGATTGGGGAGGCCTATGTCCAAAGATGGACCGAAGAAGGCTAATTAGATAGATAGATAGAACTGTTCATATTGTCTTTCAAATGCGCATTATGATACTTCACTAAGAAGTGATCACTATCACACGCGTATCACAAAGGTTTGGGTTACTTCTGTAGTAGGAAATCATGTGTGATCTTGGTGTGTCCTAATCGTAGTCTGGACATAAGGTTTTTAAGATTGTGACACGAATTTCCTTTGAAATGTGTCACATGTTCTTGCAAACATAGGATAGATGGATGAAATTTATTTATAATAATTTTAAGATCTTCTAAATGGGAACGGTACCCATTTAGGTTCCATTGAATAATATAATTAAAAGTAGTTTAATTAATAAGTCTCCGGAGAGGAATCGCTAGGATCATCGGTAGAAGTATTACTTAAAATTTGTTCTATTCTTTGTTAATTCTAGAATAACGGGATTTAAGATATCTTTGACTTAACACAGATGTATTTTCTTTATAAAGTCTATCAATCCTTCTATATCCTCCGAGTAAGTTCTGGCAACACTGAGAGGTTCTGAAGAACCATGCGCATTTTCAAATAATTCAATAAGTTCTTCCTGTGTTAAGTATCAATTGTTGAAGTTTTCTTTGAAGAATTGACTGGTGCATTTGGTAAGATCTTCTACTAGGTATTTGTTGTTTTCTTGTTGAGTTTTTGGTTTTTTACCTCGTGGCTTCGGTTCAGCGAAGGCATTTTCGTTATCTCTTATTTGGGGAAGGGGGAATATTATTTCAGATAGGTTTCGTTTAGGGTGCTGGGATTAGGATATATCTCGATCAAAGGTATCCATTTGAGCCTCATTGGGTAGGTCGCAGCTTATCAGAGTATGTTTATTTGATTGAGAGGTAATGATTTTTCTAGACGTTTCAGCCTCAGTAAGAGAGGATTGTGTAGAGGAATTGATCGACAAAGGAGCTGATTGTTGTACTGTAGTTTCAGTCTCAGTAGGAGAGGATTGTGTAGAAGAAATTATCGAAAGGGGAGCTGATTGGTATACTTCCTATAGAGAGTTTAGATGAACAATATTTTGGGTGTTGTTTGAAAGAGTCTGATTATTTTTATTGTTCTGAAGCTATTTTCTTGTGGCATTTTAAATTAATTACTATTTAACTATTAATTACTATTTAATTACTAAATAAGCCACAATTACTGATAAAAATACGTTTATTGACGTTTCAATTTCCACTTCGGAAATCGTTCTCAAAATACAAACAGTAAATTCACTGTTTGTATTTTGAGAACGATTTCCGAAGTCGAAATTGAAGTAAATTTACTGTTTGTATTTTCAGAACGATTTCCGAAGTGAAAATTGAAACGTCAATAACGTATTTTTATCTTTAATTGTGGCTTATTCCCAGTTAAATAGTAATTAATCTGATTATTTTTATTGGGACACTGAGATGCAAAATGTCATTGCTGCTTGCATAAGTAGCAAGATTGCTTTTCGATGAAAAATTAAATTCGATAGTTGTTATCCTCATGGTTAATTAACATAGAATCAGGTAATTTGTCTAAGTTAGTTGGCGCTATAAAAGTGTATCGTCGGAAACTCAAGATATGCTTGAATGCTAGAACTGAAGTCCCTATCCTGAGAAAGTTAATTGGACCAATTGGTCAATCGGGTCAATTGATCAATTATATGTATACTTAAGTTTTTCAGTTTTTCTTCTATAACGCTGTGCGGAATACTTGACATACGTTGGAAATAATCAATCGTTCATTTGAAGTTATTAGTCTTCGGGCTTGACTATGCTCTTGGTTAATTACTACAATTCCATTGCAATAATACAATACTTAAAAAATCTGTACATATTCTGTCTATTACTGTCCCAAGAAAATTGCTAGTCTATCCTTAGAGAAGAAAAAGGGGGAAAAGAGAAAAATTCTAGAAGATTTCAAAAAAAAAAAACAGTGACTTACCTCCACTAGATGCTCTCCTATTAGGTTTAGCGTGCGTCGCCGAAATTGAACGATGCACGCCTCTGTGTTGAGGGCTCTGTATAGCGGGTTGAGGCGTGGCCTGTTGTTGCCCTGTCATGTTACGCAGGGATAAACTGCTGCCGCTCCGGCTACCGTCACTTTCCGGCTAAAAATGAATTTAATTAGAAATTTCTATACATGAATATATTATTCCAGTCTTTCATGATAAAAAATTCTAAACTTTACAATTTTAAAGTAACGTACCGATTTTAGCAAACATTTGTAAGTGGACTAGAGTCAGTATGCTACTGAAGTGTACTTATAGTGTTAATAAAGGGGTAAAAGCAATCACTTCTAGTAGAAAATTTAAAAATTATGAATTTATGCATTATTTAGATATAAGTGAGGTTTAAATATGTGTAATAAACATTCCCAATTAGGCTACCAATTTCATCCTTGAGTTTTAAATTTAAGTAATAGTAACTTTTCAGAGAATGGATTGCATTTTTTAGGATTAAGCCTGAAGTTTTCTTGTCAAAATTTCAGGTTAGCTGACTCAGTGAGTGGCTTTTGGAGCATATGAATGCATTTCTTGAAGCACAGACATTTCCTGAAGCTTGGAGGACATCAAGGTGTGTACTGCTTCCCAAAACTAGGGAGAAATATCGCCTTATGCCTCTTAGATCCGATCTCTTCCGATGTATGGGAGAAATATCTCTCCCATACATCGGAAAGTTGTACGAAGGGAAATTCGGATTCTGCAAAGGGCAAAGAGCACAGTTGACGCAATTTTAAGTGTAATCGAGGCATTGCATAATATTGGGGACGGACAGCTGCTGCTCGTCGATTTTAGAAATGCATTCAACCCTCTGCAGTGCAAAGAGGTGGATGCGGGCATTGGAAGAGAGGGAGTGTCGTAACTATCGGATGAATGTGATGGCGGAATATTTTTCCGAGAGAAAAATCATAGTTGAGAAGGGCACGCTCATTGACGTAACGGCTGGAGTCCCACAGGTATCGGTCTTGGGTCCGATGCTATGGAACCTGATGACGATGACTATGGAGCCCCTTCGCTTTTACGGATGATCTCGCTGATAGTAGCGCGGGACTAGCCAGATCTCCGATTTCGGGTAAGCCACACGAGCAACGTCGTGAAGGACTGGATGACAGATCAGGGACTAGAACTCGCAACAGAGAAAACCGAAGCCATCATTCTAAAGGGTAAACAGAAAAGACAAGAGATGGAACTCCAATCTACAGGGGTACAACTAGCATCAAAGAAAAGCGTCAAATATCTGGGAGTGACACTATACCAATATGGCGGATGGGGAAAACATATACGGGTGGTAGCCCAGAAGGCAGCGAAGAGTGCGGCTATGATGGGGAGAATGATGCCTAACATTGGAGGGCCCAAATCAGAAAGGAGGATGGCCTTACAGGCCATAATAAATGAACTTTGAAAATAAGGCTATTATCGAGCGAACTAATAAATTAATTAATTTTAATATTTCAATTTCATAGTCATTTTTCTTCTCGTTTTGCAGTATTGACAGTGCCTGGTAGACCATTTTATTGTAGTCAACTACCCACTGTCCAATAGATCGTTTGGTCTATTTCTTTCATTCACACTTTATGTACACTTCATTTAGCCTCAAACCTACAACCTTATTATTACAGACCGGTGTGAGCGTGAGATCTGGATTATGCAATCTAGTTTAAATCAAAATATTCTATTTGTCATACTTCATCAGCTGATTTTTTCAGTAGTAGTTCTAGTTGGACCTTTGGCCAATGACAACTCATACAGAATTTTAATATTTGCTGATCACAGATCCATAACTTTGACTGCCTATCAAAGTTGTCATATGTCACATGTCACGATATCATTTCCGCTTAGATCATTATCCCTCCAGATACTGACAGAGAATGTAGCGTAGAATCTTTAAGTAATTTTAAACTATTTGTCCTCGTTTTAGTGTAGTGTTTTGTACAATTTTATGTCACTATTAATGTTTCCACATTCTACGCTTGCCGGTTAGTTTACATTTTGACGAAGTTAAGTCTAAAACGTTAATCTCAAAAAATTTTTTTTCATCCATTAACTTCGAGTTTTTTATCGAAGTTAACTAATTTACTTCATCTAAAAAACGTTTTCTTGGCTTATTTCAGATGCCCCTGAAGATGCTATTTTAAGCGAAAGTACTTGGGCTAGATTTAATTAACTTGTGCTCGATAATAGCCTTATTTTCAAAGTTAATCATCCTTTACGCAGCACCAGTCTGGAGTGAGGCGATAGAGAAACTGACCTACAAAGGGCTCATAATACGATTAGAGAGAACAAGTCAAGACTGTATTTGCGGCGGCCTTGTGAAGAGAAAGATCAAGAGAAAGATGACAAGAAGAGTGAAAAAACACGAAAAATGTTGCCGAGCCTAAGGTAATGGGTGGACTGTGGTCACGGGCGACTGGATTACTTCCTGACGCAAGTGCTCACAGGACAGGGGTGACAGATACAGATAAATGCCTATACTGTGAATACTCTGACACTAACATAATCATCATCATCATCATCCAGCCTTCATTTATTAAGTCCACTGTTGGACCTAGGCCTCCCTTACTTAAACTTCTCCATTCTTTACGATTTTGTGCTCTTTGTTGCCAATTTTTTGTGATACTCCTGATGTCGTCAGTCCAACGTGTAAGTGGTCTTCTCTACTACATTTGTCTGCTCTTGGACTCCAATTTGTAATTTTGCTTGTGCATCGTGAGTCATGCATTCTCGCTACACGGCCTGAGTCACACAATGCTGGAGTGTAATCGATGGACAGTGGAGAGAAAGAGAATGTAGAGAGAAATAGGTATGAACCCTGTTACTGCGAGAGATGATCGTAAAGATGACGGCAAGTAAGGAGGGATAGAATATTGTACATCATTACATTCGAACAGTAATTAAAAGAAAGAAAAAGAGAAACACCAACCGGACCAACGACAATATAGAGAAGATAGTGTAACGGGATTTAATTAAGCATCCAGAAATCAGATCTAAGTAAGCCAATTCAGTTTAAAAATTTAAAATCCTTTTAATAATATTGTTCATTGCTTATTGCTCAATGCGATTGTTTGTTGATGACATTGAAAATATCGGTGTAACTAGAAGACAAGCTGACCTAGTGAAATTTGCAATGTAATCAAAAGCTTATTTAATAATGTGCACAAATTATATTAGAAAAACATGAATACATAAACAAACGCGCGTGAGTTAAATACCCAGAAAATAACGGGAGTAGATTATTAAGAATTAAGAGTTCAAGAGAACAGTCGAAGCTAGTGTTGCCATCCGTCAACTGGGTGCCCTCTCTATTATTGTACTTAACCAATAAAGTAATTATGAGTATCCAGTGAGTTCGAGTTAATCAACCCCATGCAGGGGGTAAACTACCTCTAGAGTTCCACTATATGGAACTCTGGATGGAAGCAATCTAATAAACATTATATGATTATCCAACATTATTATAGTAGTGCTCCTATAAAATGTCATCAGCCTTACAGCGGCCATCCTACTTTCGGAGTACGGTACGTGCTACAGTCAACTGCGCACAAGTAGGAGAGGGTAGTTTTAGTTGGTAGACAGGATAAAAGAAAGACATCTGTTTGTAGAACCTCCATCTTCTACGGTGAAATGGGAGTTTGTTTCAATGTACATTTAAGATTGTATCGTACACTTTAGTATTAAAAACTACATTTTATTGACCTACAACCTATTTGTTTTAGTAAACCACATGATCAATAATTTATATATAAAAAAAATGTACTTACATCTGTGCTTTTCCTTCCTAACAATAGATACGTCGCGAACGCGTCGTCGTATTTCTGTGAATCTAATGAGTTTTCCACGTCGTATCTGTTAAATCCTAAACAAACTAGAGCCTCTATCCGTTTGGGGTCGCTCATATCTTGCTCGGGTTCGACGTACGGCTTCAGTTCGTCGTTTTCGTACCTGAAAATGGTGATTCAAACAGAGGTTTAGCCTAGGAGATAGGGTATTAAAGATTTACGTTTACTATACAATAAGATTTGTTGAAGTTGAAGAGAACGTAATTGGCTTGAATATTGTTAAAGTAATGTAAAATTGTCTTAATATATGCTGGCAAAAGTAATTACTTCATTATTAGACTCAGTCCAAAATATCAGTACTATACAGTGGCGGCTTTTCTTTATGTGCTGCTGAGCTGCAGAACTACCAAACAACCATAGCAAATCTTAATTATTAAAGAATAATTAATATAGTTTTATTTCAAATCTGCCATATTATCATATTAAACATAAACTGTTAATAATAATTCACCAACAACGATGATTAATATTATTTTTTTTACGTATTTACTCCTCTAGTGAAACCGTATAATTTTTTTACGTATTTGGTGCTCCAGTGAAGCAATCTTTTTACGTATTTGCTGCTCCAGTGAAGCCGCGTCGATAACAACCGAAACACTGGCAGCGGTAAAATGCATTTATTAGGCAAACGGCGATCTTAGCCGATGTGCTTCGGCAATCGGCTGATTAACGGCCTCGGAAATGTGTTTGCGAGCTGCAATTCACGACAGTTATTCGTGACCGTTGCATCTGTGCCGTGTTTAGAAATTCTTAGGTTACAATTTTGTTTAATTTGTTTTGTTCGAGCGTGTTTAAAACAATGGAGTTTCAATTTAAATTAGGTGTAAATAAATTTCAAAAACTTCACTATCAACAACAGTTGATTATAAAAGAACGTGGCCGTCCTATGCCTGATCTTAATATTGAAGTGTCCGGTAAAAGCCGTGGAAAAACATATACGCGTAAATTTAATAAAGACATGTATCTACGAAATCAGTGGATTTGTGGATGTTCCGAAAAAAATGCTTTTTTCTGTTTTCCGTGTGCATTATTCGGCGCAGATAAAGAGGAAAAATTGTGGCGCGAGACAGGAGTGCGGGATCTAGTGCATTTAAGTGAAAAAATAAAGAAGCATGAAAACACGCAAACTCATATGAACAATGAAATGCGATTTGCATTATTTGGGAAACTTAATATACAGGCCCAACTTGACTCTGCTTATTGGATAAATATACAAAAACACAATGAAGAGGTGACGAAAAACAGGTATGTTTTGTCAAAAATAATTGACTGTATAAAATTCTGTGGGGCTTTTGAGCTCGCCTTACGAGGACACGATGAATCTGAAACATCAGATAACCCTGGAATTTTTCGTGGTTTAGTGAATTTTTCTGCTGAACTTGATAAAACACTTAGTGAACACCTTACAAATGCGACAATTTTCAAAGGTACCTCAAAAACAATACAAAATGATATTTTGGATTGCATGCTAGAAGTATACGCTGAGGAGATTTTAAACGAAATCAATGAAGCCCCATTTTTAGCAGTGATAGCTGATGAGACAACGGATGTTTCTATGAAATTTCAAATGGTCATTGTTTTTCGTTATGTAAAAAACGGTGCTCCAGTTGAAAGGTTTTGGACTTTTTTGCTTCCAGAAAAACATGATGCTGAAACCTTAGCTAACACAATTTTGAATGTTTTAGACCCAATATTAAAGAATAACAAAAATAAGCTCATTGCACAAAGTTATGACGGAGCAGCTGTTATGAGTGGGATACATGGCGGAGTGCAAACAATAATTAAGAGAAAATATGAAACTGCTCATTTTGTGCACTGTTACGCCCATCAATTGAATCTAATAATGTCAAGAGCATGTTCTATTAATTCCCAAGTACGCGTATTTTTTGGAGATTTACATGATATACCTGGATTTTTTAGTCATTCACCTCAAAGAATAGCTGTCTTAAATCAAATAGTTGGAAAAAATATTCCTCGTTCAATCCCTACACGCTGGAATTTCAATATTCGTACAGTAAATGTCGTTTACGAATATAGAGACTTTATTATTGAGTGTATGGAGCAACTAGAAGAAGAGTCAAATGCTATTACTTCCAAGGAAGCAAGAGGACTTAGACGTATTCTGGAAGATCAAAATTTTACTTTCTGGCTGACTGTTTTTCATTATATTATGCCACATGTTGACGTTTTGTACAATAATCTTCAAAAAAAGAACATGGACCCAACCGAAGCACAGAAAGCTATACATGTTTTTGAGCAAAGTATTAACAATGTCCGAAATAAAATAGACCCTATCATACATCAAGCTTCAAATTTAAATGCGGCGCCTAGTGTCCAAAAAAGGAAACGCCCAAATAACAGCCAACAGGATCACCGTATTGCCTGTCTAGAAGTTTGTGATGTTATTATAAACAATGCAAAAGAACGGTTTGCATATACAAATCATCTAGTTGCCGCAACACTTTTATCTTCAGAACATTTCGAAAAATATAATAATAAGTTTCCTGAAAATGAATTGGATTTAACTTGTACAGCTTATAACTTCTTTGATAAAAACCGTTTGCGAACAGAACTGTCAGTTTTGTATTCCAATATCGAGTGTAGAACATTAAAAGGTGCAGTGCCTTTACTAAAATTTATAATTTCTAATAATTTAGAGGACACATTAACAGAAACCAAAAAGTTGATACAAATTCTGGTGACTACGCCAATGACCACAGCAGAAGCTGAACGTAGTTTTTCAACTTTAAAACGGATCAAAACATTTTTAAGAAATTCAATGTGCGAAGACAGATTAACAGCCCTTTCCACACTCTCGATAGAAAAAAAGTTCATCGCTTCAATACCGAACTTTAACGATAAAGTAATCGAAAAGTTTGCGACAAAAAAGGACCGGCGTATTAATTTCCAATTTAGAAAAATGCAATAAATGTAAGTTAATCAGATTTTTATAGCATGTCGTTATTAGTTACTATTAATTAGTATTAAAGCTAATTTTATTGTTTTTGTTTTCGTATGTTATTCTATTTCTATTATTTTATATTGACCGTGGTTCATGCAGCACACCCTATAGCAGATGTCACGAGCCGCCACTGGTACTATAACACATATATTTTAAGAGTGTTAAAAAAACACCCACACTCACAAAGAAAACAACCCTCACTAGTGAGACTACAGTTGCATGTTTCAAGTTTTTTAGAACTTTTTTCAAAATAATTTATTTATAAAACTTGTCAACAATACTCACATACGAAATACAACATATTCACAATATATATAAGGTCAACCCATTTAACAAATAGCCTTCTGGAACTGGAAGTATTCCAGTTAATAAATTATACATGTATTTGCATTAAAATTTCTTTTTCAAAAAAACAAAAGATCCAGCAGTTATCCCACCACTAACAGTTGTTTTCCTAGAAGGCTTGGTGTTATATGAACATTCTTAAAATACATGAGTTCTTGTACTGATGTCCTGTAAATATTCTTCTATACTTCGTTCAATTTCAAGATACGACCGAGATAAACAGCTTTTGACACGTGATGGGTGGGTTTATCGTGTCGTCGGAGCTTGTAATAGGTTAGCACTTAATTTCTAATCAATGACAAGCTTTAAATTGAACGAAGTATAGTGGATCTGATGATGAGCCATATATTGTTAACTTCAAAACTGATCGTCTCCTTTTTTCTAGCAAATAATTTATTTGGATTGTAATTTTCTTTACTTTTGCCAACACATATAGTCAGTATGGATTCAAATCATCGACTTTTTCTTCAGTTAATAGTATTCAAAGTGAATGTTTAATAAAAAATTGAAATTAAAATGTGCTTTTAATTAAGAAGGGACTGATTATTGACACGCTTCGAAAAAATCATCGCAATTCCCACTTTACTTATTTCGATACTTTGAAATATCAATAAAACCATATTAAACGTTCATCAGTAGTAAAATTAGACCACACAGAAAGGCACTAGATAACGTTAACCAAAAATTAAAGTACATAAATACAGCTATACAAACAGCAGGAAAGAAACATCTTAAAAAACCACAAAAAATAAGGGGTGGATGACACAAGATTTACTAGACTTGATGGAACAAAGAAGAAAGATGAAGAATTACCTAGATAAATACAAAGAAATAAACAAACACATAAAAAATAGAATAAAAGAAGCCAAAGAGGCGTGGATTAAAGAACAGTGTGAAGACATGGAAACCTCTGAGAAAAAGTACGATACATTCAATATGCACAAACAAGCAAAATAGATAACAGGAAGCATAAAAAAATGTCAAATGAGTAAACTTAAAGACAAAGCTGGAAATCTTATTGTAGATCTAGAGAATAAAATAAAAAGATGGACAGAATACCTGAATGAATTATTTGAGGACGATAGAAACAACTTAAATCAGATAATCAACGCAACTGGGCCAGACATATTGAAAGAAGAAGTAGAATACGCAATAAGAAACGCTAAAAATGGAAAAGCAAATGGATCTGATGAAATTCCTACATAACTGTTGAAGCTTTTGAATGATAAATCCGTAACCATAATATTACATCTATTCAATACTATATACAGTACTGGTATAATACCTCAAGAATGGTTGCTGTCTACGTTTGTCACCATACCGAAGAAAACTAAGGCAATGCAATATTCAGATCATCGAACAATCTCTCTGATGAGTCATCTGCTTAAAATATTCCTTAGAGTCATCCACAACCGAATCTATCAAAAGTTACAAAATCAATATTAACGATACACAGATGGGATTCAGAAAAGGATTAGGTACAAGAGAAGCTCTCTTTGCCTTAAACGTCCTAACACAGAGATGTCTAGATGTTAACCAAGAGGTACACGCCTGCTTTATAGACTTTGAAAAGGCCTTTGACAAAGTACGCCACAATAAACTCAAGGATATCCTGGAGGGTAAGAACATCGACACCAGAGACATACAATTAATATTAAATTTATACTGGAATCAGCAAGCTAATATAAAAATAGAAGACCAAACATCGGACGAAATAAAAATACGTAGAGGAGTACGACTAGGTTGTATATTGTCACCACTCTTGTTTAATATCTACAGCGAACAAATATGCCAAG